ATGCCGAGTCAGCGGACTCTGCGGAAAAGGTCACGTCGGTGGTCATCGAGGAGATCGATGTGCTGCCCAAAAGTGAGCCCATACGCAATTTGGAAATTGTGCGAACCATGCAATACGGTAAGTGGAACTGAAGACCCAGTTGAATCGGACTCAATTAAAAGGAAACGTGTAACGAGCTTTCATTGTAAAACGAATTCCCCAATCCTTGATACGCAGATCAACCGAAAGATGGCAGCTACGACGATGGCAAATTAATCATTGTCACGGATAGTCAAGTGATAGCCATACAACTGCATCGATGCCACAACGACAAAATCACCAGCTGCAGGTAAGCGACACACCTGAACAATATGGGGAACAGATTGGTCAGACAGCAGAATATCAGCAAGAACAATGACATTTTTATTTCATGTAACAATTTGCGTGACTTTCATGCGTCGGCTGTCAGACTGGCAGACAGTGAGAGAGCGAGAGAGAGAGAGATAGAGGGAATGTGAGAGAGGGGCACATTCTGCAGCTCTTTCTCTCAACTTCAGCTCACATTGCCATTTGTCTGTCTGGGTTTTGCTGTTGCAGCTGCTGCTGCAGCACTTTATGCGCATTTATGGAGTTTTACATTTCACAATTTGCAATATGTTTACACCATTGCCTCTTAACCCCGCCCCTGCTTCTCTGCTTCTCCTTTACAGCGAATGCGTCGCATTGCAGGATCCGTATTGCGCCTGGGACAAAATTGCTGGCAAGTGTCGCTCCCATGGCGCGCCACGCTGGCTGGAGGAGAACTATTTCTACCAGAATGTGGCGACCGGTCAGCATGCGGCCTGCCCCTCAGGTGAGTTAAATGCCCAGCAGGTGTGGCTGCAGCTGCCAATGCAACAGCTTCAACTACATTGTGCTATCCTTGTCCTCAGGCAAAATCAATTCAAAGGATGCCAATGTGGGTGAGCAGAAGGGCTTCCGCAACGACATGGATTTGCTGGATTCGCGTCGTCAGAGCAAAGATCAGGAAATCATAGACAATATTGATAAGAACTTTGAAGGTAAGGCACAAAATCGGGCTTCCCCTAACATATTGTAGTTCATTTGCTTCGCATGTGCTGTTTTATATCATCGTTAACAGCTTGATTTACTCATAGCACAGAATATATACATATATACATATATGCATATTTACCAGTCTGTTGTCATTTTTTAAATCACATTTTCATTTCATTCGCTTTTCTTTTTGCACGCCAGGTGCTTACCTGGCTGCCTGAATGCCATCTCGCACCCAACCTCATTACGCCCTGCTTCCTCCTAGTTTGCATATTGCCACTTTATGCTTTTCAATTTCAATCAACATTTACCCTGCACTTTATTCTAGTTGCTTTATTATCGTCATCTTGAATGTAGCTGTACAGTAAACGTATTTTCATTTTTTTTTTTATTGCATTTTCCCCCCCACTTAAATATCCTGCCTTAAACTCTTCTGCTATACAATTCTTCATAAAAGGACTTTTGTATTATTGGGTATCTATTCTGTTTTTCAAAACTGTTTACATTTGGGGAGTTTATAAGATTTGACTGATGCTACAATATTTAAATATATTGTATCGATAAAGCATAGTTTAATTAGTTTGCTTAGAGCTGATTTTTTTCAGTTGGATCAGACTAATTCATCATCTGTTGAAATTGAGAAGGTTACAAGAATAATGTTGCCAGATTTAGATGCCAAATAGGTCTAGAGGCCAAACCATGAACAAAGAGCCAAGCCTCGTGAAAATGAGATGTGATTTGACAAGGTTGTGTGTGTGTGTGTGGGCGTGTGTGTTAGTGCATGCATGCATGTATGTATGCGTTTATGAATATATGTATGCATGCATGGTTGTTTTCTAATACCAAACGCAGACCAAGCTTATTTGTCGCTGTGCTGCAAATTTAAATAAAACGAATTTCCACCAAGTCTCTTCTCCTCGATTCTCATGAATTCAAGTAGGCCCTGCAGTTGTTGATGAATTTTTTGTAAGTGCCTGGCAAATGTGTTGGTGATGTTTGTATGTATGTATTTATGTTTGTATGTATGTATGTATGTATGAATGTATGTTTGAATGTGTGTCTATATGTATGTATGTATGTTTGTATGCTTGTATGTATGTATAACCTCTTATCCAGGGAAATTTATTTTAGTTTTTTAATTTGTGGATTTCATAACCTTTAATTTTAGCCTAATATAAATATAGCTGCCATGACATAAAAAAATAACATAAACCTTTCGCATCATATATATTCATTATTATATTTTTTAGTACGTTCTTTAATGTAAAAACATTTCTTAATTAATATTTTCATTATTGTTCCATTTTTTGATTGAATATTTTTAGCTACTCATCTGTATATACTAAAAAATGTATTTTAAGAATTTGCTGTTGTACCTTGTATTAACTCGTTTTGTCTTCTTCTTGTTCTTCTTGTTTCATTTCATTTATTGATGTTTCAACATTTTGCCACATTTGGTTATAAAAAAACGCGCTAATTTGGGCGTTATTCGTTGTATTTCGATGTTTGGATGTTTATTGATGTGGTTACAAAACGGATTCTATATGTACACGTAATCCTTCTTGCAAATATGACCCTGACACACAAAAAAAAAACAACTTATATATGTACTCGTTGTGGTTCGATGTGCTAATTCGATGAAAACTCAAAATTGTATCGTAATAAATTAAAATTAATAAATACAATTGGTTCATATTCCGCCGATAACTATGTGCATTTACTAATCGAAGGTCCCCAAATTTCTGCAGATATTATCAATGCACAATATACAGTGGAAACTCTGGTGATGGCCGTGCTGGCCGGTTCGATATTCTCGCTGCTGGTGGGCTTCTTTACGGGCTACTTCTGTGGCCGGCGTTGTCACAAGGATGAGGATGACAATCTGCCGTATCCGGATACGGAATATGAATACTTTGAGCAGCGTCAAAATGTGAACAGGTGAGTAACCAATAACGCAAATTTTAGCTACAGCGTGTTGACGGTCTGTTTATGTCGCATAGCTTCCCATCATCGTGCCGCATACAGCAGGAACCGAAGCTGCTGCCCCAGGTGGAGGAGGTGACGTATGCGGAACCGGTGCTGCTGCCACAGCCGCCGCCCCAAAACAAGATGCACTCGCCGAAGAATACACTGCGCAAGCCACCCATGCACCAGATGCACCAGGGTCCCAACTCGGAGACGCTCTTCCAGTTCCAACCGGACGGTTACAATACCCAGCAAACATATCGCGGACGCGACAACTTCGGCACGTTGCGTTCGCATCAGGTGATGGTGAGTCCCACATCCAACGAGATGCCAGGCCCAAATTTCCAGCTCATAGACTAATCCCTTTTACTTTGCAGGGCGAGAACTATAGACGCGGCGATGGCTTTTCGACCACTCGCAGCGTCAAGAAGGTGAGTTTGCCATTCGTAGTGCCTGTTGTAAGCGTTTTACTACAATTTTGATTTGATTTTTATTTTCATTGTATACTGATCTCTAATCTCTAATCGTATCCATTGAGCTCTTTTTGATGTTGTTGACATTTTGACATTTAGTATATACTTAAACGAATCCTTGTGGTGCGCTTGTATTTGATTGAACTCTCACTCAATCGTCGATTGGTGTATTTCTTAGACTCACTTTTCAACTTGTTGTGCGTGTCTCCATCTCTCTGTATCTGTCTGTGTGCATCTCTGTGTGTGTGTGTGTATGTATGTGTGCCTATCTACTTATCTATATGTATCTACGTAAGATATGTGTGTACTTTAGAACTTAAATCATGCTCACTCTTTGGATTAAGCGGCTCACAACACATCAGCTGCCATTTTGCAGTCACTCTGTAAATTGAATTTTTATTTTCAAGTCTTGCATTGCATTTCACTAACTCACATACTAGCTGCATGTTCTTTAAGTATTTTATATGTCGATTTACGCTGTTAAATGTTTTTCTTTAGTGTTGGGCTTGGTTAAATAATCTTGATTTTCAATTATTATCTTCCCATGCTTCATAGTAAATTTTGCTCGTTTTTGTCAAATATTCAGTATTATTTAAACAATATTAACAAAGAATATAAGCTTAACATTTATAATTTTAATGTACTAATTACTCAAACAAAATTTAGTACGTTTTTTAAAACAATAATTTGTGTTTAACTTTTAAATTTAATCTTAAATACATTTTTAAAAGTTTTGTAAAATTCGTAGAGCAAATAAATTCTTTCCTTAAATTTTGATTATTTATATATTTGAATTAAAAGATAAAACTTTGAGATTCTATAATTTTGTCCCTTCTTCTTGCGGTTTAATTTTGCATTGCTTGACTCTATTTAATGAACACTAATTTAAACTTAATTCTTAAGTGTATTAGTCATTCGCAAGCTTATGACATTCGTATATGTAACACCATCATCCAGTTGATATATAATTATCCATAAATATATGTATTTGTATCTACACGTGTATATCTAACCTGGTTCAAGGCCATCGTCCATTTGCATGTCCATGAATATATGATAATTCTCTCCATATATATTAATATATAAATCATGTACATTATTCCATAATTCTGGTTCTGAAATTAATTATATTTGTCTGGGGTTTGTTTATTGTTCGCTGACGTTTTAGAAATACACCAATCTTTCGAAATGGGCGATTGCGAATCTTTGCAGGCGTCTCTCTAAGCATTTTGTATAGTTGAATCTTTGCAATTTCCGCTCTAAGACATCTCTACTCTTACTAACCTCTATTGCTGAACTTCTTTTCACATACATACATACACCGAACACTTACACTATCGTGATGATTGCCGATCAACTGTCAAATGTGGACAACACCAAGCAACCGAAATACCAAAACTCTATCTATCTTTTCTTCTTCTTCCCTTTTTCATCAGGTTTACCTTTGAGACGGGAGTGGGGCGGCTGAAACCAGTCAGGGACTAATTACCCAAAATATGGTAAATACTCACGCATAACTAAAGCAAATTTAGTTAATTTGTTTTCTTTTTTTTGATTTTTTTTGTTTATTTTTTTGTTACAATTTTTGATTTGTTTATTTATTGATACGGCTGACAAAATTTGCTCAATAGCTGCAGTGCGGATACCCTCGATTGCGAGATCAACTGAAATTCGAAACTCAAAAGTAATTTTGCCAAGAAAATGTTGATCCAAATTTTTTGAATGATATTCTCTGCAATTCGGTTTGATCACCTTTAAATCTTCTCTTTCTATTATACATACACCCAGCACAGTTTGATCGAAGTTTCATTTATCTCACGAGTAAACTGTAAATTACGTTATGGAATGCCATTTTTGATTTTGTCGAAATTATACTCAACTAATGTCAGACAAAAATTCTCGATCAGTCCAAAGACATCGTCCAGTCTGTCAGCCAGCCCGCGCCCAACTCGACGATTCATTGCCATTTGCCAGCGGAAGGGTTGCAATTTTTGTGTAATCGCTTATTGAACATCGATTCTTTTTCGATTATCGATTTATTGTGTGAGTGCGTCTCTGCGTGGATGAGCTGTGTGTGCCTGTAGCTCTTTGTAAACCCACTCCTCATACACACTCGCATAGGTTGGCAACTCTTGAACTCTTCTTCTGCATGGGTGTCCAGCACATTGCGTATTAGTGATACACTCCCGATCCCTTAATCCAAACGATAAACCCATTAGCCAAAGAATATGTGTGCATTTGAACCTAGATACTTACATATATCCACAATATGATTATGATAAATGTACTAGTAATAATTCTAATATACTACCTAATACAACTACCCACAAAGAAACGTAATACTCATTTGTAATGCTATTCAATTTTCAGTTTATTGCTTGCTAATTACAATTACATAAGAACGTGCTTAGGCTCTTCTTCAAATAAAACACTTAAATAAATAAAACTTATAATTAAAGATCTGAATTTCTAAATTTATAGAATGTTTATCATTTATGACAATAATTTCAAATGCCGCCCAAGCTAATTCAGAGCTGGGCTGAGCCGAGATAAGAACTGAATATTGGACCTGAAATGCTCGATCCAAGTAGTTTGATTCCGTTCTTGGAAGCTGTTACATTTGTTTTGTTTGTTAACCTAATCAGAGCCAAATTAAATTGAAAGCAATTTTATTAGTTTTTATTTATTTTATATTTCTCTAAATATACAAGTACAGTAAAGTCTTTGCAGTTTTCGTTTATAAGATAGAATTAAAAAGAAAAGAAAATATAAAAAAAATTATATCACCAATCCTAGGCTGTAAACAACACAAACACACGAAACAGAAGTCTTGGTCGAGCAAGAAGACAGCCGCCCCGTCATGGTATTGGTAAGTTTTTCTGTTCCATTCATTGATTTGAGTCTTCAGTTGATATTTGTTAATTGTAAAAGACACATACAAACACGCATACACACACAAAACCAATCAAATTTATTAAAATTTCAATTGAATTGTTCCCCCACGATCTCAAAGTTTCTCTGTGTCTCTTTCTCTCTCTCTCTCTCTCTGTCTCTCTCTATGTGTTTGTCCTCTTTCTCTATGTATTTGATATTTATTCGATCAAAGTAAACCAAATCGTGTTTTTTTTTAGTTGTTATACAAATTGGAATACATTACTTTGAGAATATACTGTATATTTTTTTAAAAAAGATTTCTTTGTTGGGATACATTTTATTCAATTTTTCATTTGCTTCGAGTATTTAGAAATTTTTAAAGTTATTTAAAATCAAACTTTATCAAAAATAAAATATTTAATTTTCCCTTTTTTTCTTTTGATTAGTACTTAGTTATTCATAATATCATAAATATTTTAACATAGTTTTGTTTACCACAAAATTTTGCCAAATCCAAAAAAAGAAACTAATAGAAAGTTCCATTTAAAAATTGATTTTGAAAAATCTTTTAAGCCTAAAATAAATATTTTCTTTATTAATTTTCTCTTAAATATTTTTTTTTGTTTATTTATTTTGTATTTGATATCTCTTATCTGTGTGTGTATTTGCGTATGTGTGTGCGTGTCTGTATATTTGTGCATGTTGCAACGGACTCAATGTTGTGTAAAACTTATTTAAAATAGATTTGAAAACAGAAAAACAAATGAATGCAGTATACACATTAATATTAAATATGTATGTATGTATGTATTTGTGTATACGTATTAGATGTTAATCCAACTCTATTTGTGTTGTTGCAACATGTATTTGAGTGCGTGCGTGTGCGCGTGTGTGTCGTGTCTTTGCATAACTTCGCATAAGTGCTCTCAACACCTGGCAGCTGAACTCAATTGACCCGCTGTTTGTGTTATTCCGTTTCGATATTGCAGTAACTCAGCACCGTTCAAATAGCCCACAGCAGCAACAGCAGCAGCAGCAACAGCAACAGCAGCCGCACTCCAGCTCCGGCTCATCGCCCGTAATGTCGAACAGCAGTTCCAGTCCAGCTCCGCCATCAAGCAGTCCCAGTCCGCAGGAGAGCCCCAAGAACTGCAGCTACATTTACCGTGATTGATTGATATGTAACACCAAATCGATGCCACTCATCCAGGCGTTGCCCACGCCCACGCCCACGCCTACACAACCAATGCACCAAGCACAAGAGCAGCAGCAACCGCACGAGCAAGTGCTGGCCAACAGCAAGCAGCTAGCCAAGTCTATGCCCGTAACGCCCATACAGCCGCAGTCACCCACAGATCCGCAGACCGCCCATTTCATGCTCATGCCGCGCTCGCCCTCGTACGAGCTGTACGAGGCGCGACCCGCACTCTTTCGGCATGCCCACTCTGATGCCACATTCCAAATGCAACCCTATGACGACGACAACGACGACGAGGAGGACGACAATGATGACTTGGACGACGCCGATGTAGACACATCATCATTGGCCATGATTACGCCGCCGCCACCCTACGACACACCGCAGCTGTCAGTAGCTGCTGCGGGTTCCGCCTCCACCTCCGCGCCGCCGTTGCCACCGCCACGTAGATTTCGTTTCGGCAATCGCGAGCTGTTCAGCATGAGTCCCGGCACGCCCAAGTCCAATGCCATAACGCCCACAAAGCTGAGCGCCGCTGCTGCCGCAATGTTTGCGACGCCGCAAATGGCCCAGCTGAATCGAAAGTGGGCGCATCTGCAGCGCAAGCGTCGGCGGCGCAACAGCAGCAACGGCGACTCCAAGGAGTTGGATAAGCTCGTCCTGCAGTCCGTCGATTGGGATGAGAATGAGATGTATTAGCGGCGCACCCTTTATTCGATTCGCATTTGCCAGTCCAACCCCTAAACTCCTAACTGTACTTGTAGCAATCTTAACATATTTATATATATAACTATATATACCTGCATATATAGCTCACAAATCGTATCGATAGTATGTGAAATTTGTATTTTCTGTAAACTAAATTAGCCTGCGATACACACTCATACACACACACACACGTATACATTTGCAAGCCCCACTCACAGTCACGTAGAAAGTTTGGAGTTTATATATATATATATATAATTTTTGCCAATTTTAGATGCGACTTTACATAAATATTACAAAGGGCAGAGGCATTCTTATAGTGGAAATAGGGAACTCAATCGATTAAAGTGTACAAGCAGTTATATAGATGAGGGTTGTCTCAAAAATCGTAGGGTATATAGGAATACAAAGAAACGAAATTATAAACCTCTATAATTTATTTATATTTTATTTAAATCATTGCAACAAACAAAATTGTTAAACATTAAATAGAAACAAAATAACTTAACAACGATTTATTTTATTTCCTCATGTAATTGCGATATTTATTGAGCCAATAATTTTGTTTCCTTTAAGATAAAGCTATTGTGCTTAATTTATATTTCCAAAAACCAGATATTTTTGTTCAAGCATAAATTAGATATACCATATATTATTTAATGGAATTTCGGCAACCGCTTTTAAGGGCAACCCTCTGGGCAATAAAATGGAATAGCTTACTTATTGGAATGGGCTGGCTTAGCTTAGATTTCTCCGAATGGCTTGTTGGCATACGTATAAAGTACAGTTACAGTTAGAATTTCTTTTTGTTTGCTAACGCATATGTATGTATGTAGGGACATACTTATAGCATAGGGGTATACGCGTTTACACCCAACTAAACTTAGTCGCAATAAAGTGAATAGTTTGCATTTTTGAAATTATTAAAGATTTATGATATATCTACACAAGCAGCAGCAACAAAATAAAAAAAAAAACAATGAGAATTATACACAAGATTTATAAATAGTTATATACATAATATATATACACACATATACTGAGAGCTGCTAATTATACGATTATGCATAAGTGTGAGTAGGCATCAACAGAACTTTGTTGTGAACAAAAACTCAAGAACTATGATGAGAAGTAAAATTATTGTTAATTAATACACCCACACACACACACACATACTGACAAATGGCAGATGGCATATATTGCATGAAAAATACTCGTAAATTAGTAAACATGTACATTTTTAGAAACGAGCAAAGTTAGGGATTTCCAATGCAATTTGTAAATAATATTAAAGACAAGAGAAGTTGTGTATTTAAAAAAAATCACCCACATCAAATATTATAAAATATTATACATTACATACGATTTTTTGCATTTAAAACAACAACAAACAAACAGAAAAAAATAGTAAAAATATACAAAAAACAAAAGTTAAAAAACACGAAACAAAAAAAAACAAAATAAATTAAAACAAAAAAAACGAAACGCTTATTACTGATTTATAAATAAGTAAAATACCAAAATAGTAAAAAACGAGAGAAAATAAAAACAAGTTAGTTTTTAAAATTAAAGATATACTCGTAATACACACAACAAACTAAGTACATACTTACACAAATGCATACATACAAATAATTAATCAAAAATGTTGCTCCTGTTTTGCTTGGTCATGTTTGTTTATCGATACCCGATTACGATAACGATTACAATCTGTGTACATAGAAACTGAATTGTGCATTTTACTTTACATATGATAAGCTTTAAAGGAACTGCCAGCAGCTTACATTTCATTACATACTACGGAACGTTGCTTTTAACTCTATTCAACCTACATATAAGGCTAACAGTAGACTTTCTAAACACTCGATACCTACTATTTAACAGCGAACCGAATACCTAGACAGAGAATTGGGTCACTTCTGCTTTGAAACCTAGTTTGTTTGTTCCACACATCTCAGATACATATTCGAACTATGTAATAGATGAACGACGGTCAATTTAATTTGCAGCCTTATGCTTTTACGTGTACTTCACTCCTTCAATTGCATACAAGTACAATAATGCTTATAACCAATTGATCTACTAAATAAAAATTTGTATAATATGTATAGCATTATACGCAATACCATTATTGAAGTGTATAACTGTACATATGTGCGATATGTGCCATAAATAGAAAAGGAGTACGCGTCGATGCGATAAATATCCAATTTACGAACGAGCATCCATAAACATGGATATTTTTCTGTTTTCTTTATTTTCTTTGGATTTGCTTTTAATAATCAAAACAAATTCAGTTGTTTATGAGTATAAATTTTGTTCAATTCAAGCACAATTACCACAAAAGCAATGTTGAGCATTGATCAGAAATGTCTTGTTTCACAGTAAGGAAATTCCTTAGTGTATATAAAAATCAGTAATCCTTATAATGGAATCATAGCTTCACCAATTCCAAAAGATATCAGTAAATTTCATTATTTTCCTTTTTGTTCAACATAAATATACAATTTCCAAAAAAGTGATCGATCAAAAGATAGTGAAAAGCATAACGTAACATTAGCTATAGAGACTTTACGAGTAATAATAAATAGAATATAAAATCGACATTTTTGCAAATATTCAAGAGTAGGGCGTTGGCTAAATTGCTAAGTGAAACACGTTTCTCTTTCATAGAATAAGCCAATAAAATGAGAAAACATATTTTGTATAAAGCTTAAAGAAAACGAATTAAGCAAAATAACTTTACGTTCTGTATTGCATATAAGAAAAACGAAATGAAAGCGTAGTAATATCTAAATCAAAGCAAATGTATAAAGAATGGAAGAACAAAAACACAAATTATCCTAGAATAAACAGTAATTAAAAATATGCATGTAATTCTGAAAGAAACGAACACATATTTGGTTTTTTTTTTAAACAATTAGTTGTATTTATTTATTTGGCGCAATTAATGCACTAAAATTAATTGCATTTAAAGAGCCAAAGACACATTTTAAGTTATTAATATTATTTGACTGCATTTATAATTTGTATAAGCTCCAGCATATTACTTTGTTAGTGTACATACAACAATTTATAAATTTAATTTTTATATGACTTGATTTTAATTATTTGATAACAATAAAAAATTATACAAGAATTCATATACATAATTACCATTTAGTTCAATTTTTCACTTTGGTTAAAAACAATTGTGGGTTTTATGTTTGCTTAAAATCAATTTATCAAATCAAGTGTCGAATACATCAAAAGCAATACAAACACGTAACATACTAAATAAGTATAAAAAGAAATTACAAACTAAATTACAATTGACACATACTTAGCATACAACAGCAACTAAAACTAAAAGAGCAACAACAAAGAAATAAGTGAAAGAACAAGAGTATAGAATTGGAGGAAACGTAGAATATAATTAACTAGCGGACTCTTCTAAAATCTAGAACTACATTTATAGCATTGCATACGAGTAAATACTACATACAAGTACATATAATTATAAATTAAATCAGATCATTAACTTTTATACACTTTACATTTACATACCATACAAAATAGATACTATACTTGATATATTATGGCAAGTATTGTTATTTAGATTCAAGCAACAATTAAAAAGGTTTTACAGAGTATGCCTGCAGAACAGCAAGAAGAAGAAGAAGAACAAGAACAAACAAACAGCAAGAAACATGATTAATTATACACTCATAGATGATGCATATAACTACCTATAAGTACATGCATACACACTTACAATTAACAAATACTTTAGCAGACAAATTGTCTGGAAATGCTTTTAAAAAAAAAATTAAGAAAAACCAAAAACAAATTCAAGGATAACAAGTATTTTACTAGTGACAAATATTAATTTCTGAAACCTTTCTGCATATGCAAAACTTGTGAGACAAATGCCATGAAGTACTAATCATTAACATAAAGATAAACATTAACAACAAAAAATCAGAACTTGAAATGGAAAACAAACACAACTCAGCAATTTTTAGGAACGCAGCAAATGATAATTATAACATTTAATAATAATGATTGATGATGGTGACGATGATGATGCATACTTTAATGATAAGCATAAGCTAAATGAAAAGATTTTTAACTTTCTGCAGATAAGATAAAAATGATAATTTGCTACGTATGTACGAAAGATTTGTAGCGAGCATATATTGCAATTTGGCAACATCAACAAATACTATAAAGAACGTCATTAACAAATTAGTGAGAAACGAAGAAAGAAGAATATTATTAAAACCAAACACACACACACACACACACACACACACTCAAGTTTTCATTTATCATTAAAACGATATATATTCAAGTGCTTCTTACATAAAATAACACATATGTATAAAAAAATATATGTATTTGTATATATATGTATTTATATATGTATATGTATATATATAAATATATATATATAAAGGATAACGTATAGTATATTATTAAAAGGCATTACATAATGATGAACATAATGAAATCAAGCAAGAATTAACTACTAATTAGGTTTAAGCATTAAATTTACTATATTATTTATGAGCATGAAAGCGAACTATTGTAGATTCAAATGCCTAATCGTTTTAAAATAGAGTTTACCGAACTGGAGCTGCAATTGAGTTGAGATGGGATTTGGGATTCTGCTTCCCATTCCCTTTCCCGTTCCGGTTTCGGTTCCGGTTCCAGTTCGGTTTTGGCTGCTGGTCCGCGTGTCTGCGTGTAGATGCGACACGAAGCGTTTGGTTTTTTAATTTGTAAGTAGCCTGCTATTAACTTGCAACGTAATCGATGCATTTTACTTGAACACTTGCGAGAAATCAATTTATATAATTATGTTAAGATTTTATAACGCAACAAATCTAAAGTATATAAATACACACCATATATATGCATATATGAGACTTTGTAAATACTTGACAAACAATACATTGAAAATGATCAAATAAATAACCTTTCATTCGAAGAAAAACACAACACAAAATCGATTTTCTCTATATATTTTGGCCAAAACACACACAAACACCCACACAATCCCAAAGTAAATAAACAAACACACACAAACACACACACACACACTCCAACAGTTCCACAGTTCCATTGCAATTGTAAAGTTGTAAGGCATTATGAAAATTAAAGTACGTTATGCATTTTTTGGCGTTTACAAATATGTAAGATACATTTAAATTTGAAATTGAATTTGAATTTAAATTGAAGTTGTTGAATATGTAGCGCAAACCAAAAAACAAATAAATAAATAAATAAAACATTAAAGAAAAGAAATGAGTAAGCCATAATGCATACGAGTATATATAGTATACATGAATACATATTTAATCAAATAAGTTACGAATCGTAGATTGACTCACAGAACGGTACTTCCAAGCAACTATAGAGCTACACACAACAAACACATGATTACTTTCTCAAGACCCCCTCTTTGCGTTGTATTTACATAACCAACTGCTACAGACTAATATATAAAAATATATATATATATATCGCATAGAAGGTTTGTTAAGGAAGGCCATTTATATTGTCAGCGTGAAGATGGTTTTCCAATGGGCTCACAATTTGCGAATCGAGAATCGAGTACAATTGTAATAACTGAGATTTAATTTGTTCAAGTTTTTACAATTGGAAAACCAACGAAGTTTTCATTTTGATCACATCGAGCCCGCCAAAAATATTGAGCAGCACTCTTCTTAGTTCAACCAAACGCTTCAGAAGATATACAAAAAAAAACAAATACTTTTCAGAACAATTTCTAAAAAATTATTAAATAAAATATAAATAAAAAACAAACGTTAGTAAAAGACTGAGCTACAAATAAAAAAAAATAAATAAATAAAACATTTATTAATACGAGGTATATTTGCAAAATGCAAACGGCTAATTCTCAGTTTTGGCAAAAATTTCACGATCCCAGTTTCGTTATTTTGATATCATTTAGTTCGATATATGTACATCAATCTCTATTGTAAGAAGCTAATGTAATTATTTGTTAAAATGCAATTATTTGTTAAGAAGTTCCTAAACGTATTGCATTTAAGTGTTGAGTCAGCGAAATGAATATTTATCACTTTTGTAGATCTATCCAATTACAAAACAATGGAACTTCAGCATTTGTTTATTGACGATTTATTTGAACGATTTAAACTGAAATGAATTATATTTATATATGTATATGTATATCGAAATACTTACGCACAAGTTTCGTCATTTAAAATACTGAACTCAGTGAAAGAAAAAGCATTTAAGGTTTAGAAAATGGCGAAGATAAATCACAAAAATTTTGTATCCTTATATACGTAATGCAGTTTGAAATTTGAAAATTTTGAATTTGTTTTCATTTGATTGGATATTATTTGGATGACTTCCTTTCAGCTACCGTCTGCGCGCCCGTAAGGCATATACAAGATCTATAAAGCAAATACCTAAATACATACAAAACATTTATATATATACACACAAACAGATATATACATACATACTACATAAAATTGCTTTTAGCTTTCCTAGTCCTCTGATTTAAATACATACTCGTACATATGTATATATGTACGCTTACCTACATAAATACATCCATACATATATAGGAAGAAGAGCAATTCTTCAAGTTTAATCTCAAACCAAATGCAATCTGACCCAAACTAACAAAAGTCAAGAATAATAGATTTGATGAAATAATCAAATCGGCATGAATATGAAGGAGGATGGGCATCAGAACGAAAATTCGACTTCGAAGAGGTACGAATAAAAATAATTGAAAAATTTACAATTAACTGAAAAAGAAAGAAAGAAAACGAGAACAGCGCATTCAAGTGTTAAATTCAAAAGCAACACAAACCAATTTAACAAAAATATTATTACAAATTATTATATTGTACTATTATAACTGAAATATTTAGATGAAATGACGATTCTTAATTATAACATATTATTATAGAAACATACTGAAACAACAAAATGAAAAATGAACCGAAAACGATTATTAAATGAAAATATAGAGAATATTATATTATGAAACAAAAAACGATTTCGTCAATTATTTGCATGCCCTTCGCTGAATTTTAACACTATAGTATTTAACAGAACAGATTCTTCGATACATGATATATGTATCTAACATTTTCGTAAGTATTGCAGCTAGCACAAATTCGTTTTCAAGTTCTACTAAAAGATCCAATGTATCTCAGATAAAATATCTGCAAGATATGATTAATATGATTGGATTATATGGTTAAATTAAAGTAAATTTAATTTGAGCCCATTTACATGCTTATAGTCAATTATGAAATTGCCATAGTTCTAATAGTTTTTAATGAATTAAATACATTTGAATAGATGAGCACCAGAAAGTGGCAATCGCATAGTTATTGCCGATAACCCCACATCAACTGTAGCCGCCTTAGACGCACTGTTTCAAGATAGGCCCAGCGACGACAATGGACACCGGACAGCGGACAGCGGACAGCGGAACGGCGAATCTGGCGCAGTGCCGCAACAAAACTGTCATCGAGACAAGATTAAAACTGGCGACATCGAGAACGAGAACTAGAACTACTTAGAACTATTTCTCTATTTGTATCTCTCTATATATATATATGTGTGTGTGTGTATGTGAGTGTGTCTGTGTGTGTATTGATGAGTCGCGTAACTCGCGATTAGGCTTGAACTTTTGATTTCCTAGTGTCTGCCATTATTCCAAAATCAGTTTTGATTTAGACACCAGGGAATCCACAACATGCAGCTGCCTACTGGGAAAAGCTGCCTCCTCTGGCAGCTGCTGCTGCTGCTAGTGCTGGGCGTGTGCCATGCCCAGTTTGATGAGGTGCATGAGGATAGCGAGAGGGCTGCTTGGCTGGCTGGCGTCTTTACGCCTCAGCCCTTAAAGGCCGCTCCATGGCAGGCGCCTGCTGTTAACACGCCCCCGCCCCCGCCATCGCCCAGCGGCGGTCTGCTTGTGCCAGGCGTTGGTGAGCTGTTCGGCCTGCGCGGCTACAAAGTGATTAAGAACCGGCCCATAGATGCGTATCTGGGCGTGCGTTACGCTCAAATTAACGGTGGTCTGGGACGTTTCCAGCCGGCCAGAGCGGTGCCTTTCCAGGCGCGCATCAATGCAACCCAATCAAGTGCCAATTGTGCCCAGTTTCCGGAGGTGCAGCGCTTGCAGGTGGCGGAAGCGCGCGGCGAGAACGTCGACGATTGCCTCACCCTGAACATTTACGCGCCGGCCGGAGCTCGTAACCTGCCCGTCCTGGTCTTTGTACACGGCGAGATGCTGTTCGACGGTGGCGCCGAGGAGGGACAGCCCGACTATGTGCTGGAACACGATGTGGTTCTTGTCTCCATAAACTATCGACTGGCGCCTTTCGGTTTTCTTAGTGCCCTCAGCGATGAACTGCCCGGAAATGTGGCCTTGTCGGACCTGCAGCAGGCACTCGAATGGGTGCAACGCAACGTCCGATATTTTGGAGGTACCCCCAGCCAGGTTACGCTGGTCGGACAAGCAGGCGGCGCCACTCTGGCCCATGCACTCAGCCTGAGCCCACAGGCGCAGCATCTATTCCAGCAGCTCATCCTGCAGTCGGGCACAGCCTTGAATCCCTACTTGATCGATGAAAGGCCCCTTGAGACCCTGGCCACCTTTGCCCAGCTGGCCCGCTGCCCCAGCGCCGGCCGCAATCTAGGCCCGCTCTACGAATGCCTCCGACGTTTGCGCACCTCCCAGCTGGTGAGTATCTTCGAGCAGCTGCTCCAACAGAATGAGCCGCGCGGTCTCAGCGCCCTGGGCGGCTTCAAGCTGGTGGTGGGCGATCGCCTAGGCTATCTGCCGGATCATCCGGCGGCTCTGATCGCCAGCAACAGTGTCAACAATCAGACAAAACCCTTAATTGTTGGTGCCACCAAGGACGCAAGCGCCTTTATTTTGTCACGTAAGTAGATCAGATTGTGTTTCAGGGCTATAAAAAGCATATCTTCAGCAGCTATTAAAATTTTCAAAATATTTTTAAAAAAAAAGGCTTTTGTTGTTCAAAGATGTTTTTTATGGAACTCATGCAAAATTTTTATAATTTTTTTCTAAATACTAAAATACACAGAATTTCACAAATTAAAACTTCAGATTCATCCATACAACTTAACTGTCTGATATAATACAGATGAGAACTTAGGGATTATACAAACAAATTCTGTTAAAGATTTTAAATTTAAATTTTAATTATTGTAAAATGTAACGAAAAAACCATGTTTCAACAGGATTCTACGATCAGATACAAGGCTTGCAGTCGCATAACATCAGCGATTACATCAATGTAGTGCTGCGGCATACAGCACATCCCCAGGACCATAAAATATGGCATGATTGGGCACTCCGGGAGATTTTTACGCCGGAACAGGTGCGCTTTGTCAATGCTCGCAGCGTCACCCAGGGATTGCTAGAACTAAGCAATCTCATATTGTATCGAGCGCCAGTTATTTATTCGATTCGCTTGTCACACAAGAAAAGCCCTGCATATTTGTACACCTTTGACTATCGCGGTGAGCATCATCGCTTTGGGCACCTGAACAGTCCCCTGCCCTTCGGAGTGGACGCCTCGCTCAGTGATGACAGTGTCTATCTGTTCCCCTATCCGGAAGAGGCTAGAAATTTGAACCCCGAGGATAAGTCTCTAGCCCGTGCCCTGGTTGCAATGTGGGTTAACTTTGCACACAGTGGCATACCAAATCAAAATTCAAATGTGTGGCCAAAGGCAACTTCGGAGTATGGTCCTTTTCTACGTTTTACCAATTCAAGACAAAGCATTTTGGAGCTGGACCAGCACTTTGGCGAGGGAATTAACGTGCCAAATTTGTATGCCCAATATTTTAATACCACCAACATTACTTCAGGTGCCTCCGCAACGACTACGACTACGACAACGACTACAACAAGGCGGCCGTATTTGAACTTCCCAGGGCAAGGTTATAGACAACCACAGCAGCCAGAGTACAGGCGGCCACCAGTTTATAATGATTATTATGCAAGGGATCAGGAACTGCGCAGGCAACGACTATTGCAAGAACAGCAAGAACGAGACCTAAAGCTTCGTGAGCAACAGGAACAAGAACAACAACAGCATGACGAACTGATGCGTGAGGAAGAGGAACGTAAACGTGAACAACAACAACGAGATGCAGAATTTCAACGAGAGAAACAGCAACGAGAACAGTCTGAGCGCGAGCAACGGCAACGAGCGCAGCAACAGAGCGAGGATGAAGCAAGACAGCTGTTGGAGCAGCGCGAACAGGAAGAACGAGATCAGCTGGTGCGTGAGCAAGAAAAGAGGCAACTGCAAGAACGAGAGCAGCAGCAACGCGAGCAACAAGAGCGAGAGCAACAAGAGCGAGACCAACGATTACATGAAATGCCAGAGCAAACAGAACAGCAACGTCAGCAGCAAGAGCGAGAGCAAGAGCAGCGATCACAGGAGGAGCTGGAGCAAGAGTCAAGAGAGCAGCGAGAACGAGAACAGCAGCAACGAGAACAGCTAGAACGAGAACACCTAGACCAAGGAGAGCCAGATCTAAACGACTATCCCACCTACAATGATTATGTGAAAGCTTACACGCAATGGGCACAAGGTCAGACTTTTCCAAGTGCCGAGCAGGACGCGTCGGCTGAAAATCCACTCGCAAATGATCCCTATGCACAGCCAGACGAAAATCCACAACGACTTAAGCTTATGCGCAGACATCAACGTCTAAGGTTTTAGAAATTGCCACTAATGCTTTATAATCTATCGCAATATTGTACCTAGTGTAATTTCTTTAATAAATATTTTTCTCTTTTTCAAATTTATGAATTCGAACGTTGGTTGAAACAACTAAAATATTTGTTCGTACATAAGCTTATCTCTACATATAAAACTGTTTGTCCTGACTGACTGATTGATTGGTGATCAACGCACAGCCCAAACCGTAAGAGCTGAAATTTTCAATGTAGTTAGCTTATGTGATGAAGGTGCACGTTAATACGAACGGAAAATTCCATACGCATGCCTGGACAAATCTCGAAAAACGTTTGATGGTAAACACATCCGATCGGCCTCAAACTCATTTTCAAAGATCTTCGTTTAAATTCATTTTAGGGGTGTTTCGCACTTTTCGAAAAATCCATTCCTCTTTGGTGGAATTGGGGGTCAAAGATTTGGTGGGTGACGTTTCGCGCTCAAATTCATTTCCAAGGATCTATTTCACACTTTTTGCCAAATCAAACATTCCTCGGGGGAAAAAGCGGGTCAAAGATTTTTTGGGCTTAGCTTTAAGTTTTGTCCGATTTGCATTAAACTTATTTTCAAAGCTCTACTTAACACCATAATGAATACGTGTTTCAGCAATTTGGGAAATTTCTCCCGCAACAGTGGTATATTGGCAGAATACGGTTGTATAAAAGTTTATTGTTTTCATCGTTTTTTTTTTCCTTTTTTTAAATGCCAATCGATAGTACTGATTTGGCTGAGATGAGACAAATAATGTCCGATTTTGGAATTTTTCACCATTTTGGACTCAATACTATCGATTGGCATCACAAAAATGAAAATCTAAATTTTGACCAAAATCAACAAAATGGCAAGGGGTTACATCACGTTTTTTCTCAAATTCGGGGCTGGTTCGAAAATCAAAACTTTTTTGATGATTTTTATTGAATATCTCGGGTAAATATTGTCAGATTTTGAAATGTTATACCTTTTTAAATTCGTACGGATCCCTACTATCAATTGGCATTCAAACATTTCAAAAATCGATGAGTTAAAGAAAGTGGTTGACCAAAAACCGATTCGATTGTAAAGTCAACCTTTTTTGATGATTTTTTGGAATATCTCGGCCAAATAATGTCCGATTTGGGAATTTTATACTATTTTGGACCCATAACGATCAGTAATATCGATTGGCATCAAAAAAATGAAAATCTAAATTTTGACCAAAATCAACAAAATGGAAAGGGGTTACATCACGTTTTTTCTCAAATTCGGGGCTGGTTCGAAAATCAAAACTTTTTTGATGATTTTTATTGAATATCTCGGGTAAATATTGTCAGATTTTGAAATGTTATACCTTTTTAAATTCGTACGGATCCCTACTATCAACTGGCATTCAAACATTTCAAAAATCGATGGGTTAAAAAAATTGGTTGACCAAAAACCGATTCGTTTGAAAAGTTAACCTTTTTTGATGATTTTTATTGAATATCTCGGGTAAATATTGTCAGATTTTGAAATGTTATACCTTTTTAAAATCGTACGGATCCCTACTATCAACTGGCATTCAAACATTTCAAAAACCGATGGGTTAAAAAAAGTGGTTGACCAAAAACCGATTCGTTTGAAAAGTTAACCTTTTTTGATGATTTTTTGGAATATCTCGGCCAAATAATGTCCGTTTTGGGAATTTTATACCATTTTGGACTCATAAGGATCAGTACTATCGATTGGCATCAAAAAAATAAAAATCTAAATTGTGACCAAAATCAACAAAATGGCAAGGGGTAACATCACGTTTTTTCTCAAATTCGGGGTCGGTTCGAAAATCAAAACTTTTTTGATGATTTTTATTGAATATTTCGGGTAAATATTGTCAGATTTTGAAATGTTATACCTTTTTAAATTTGTACGGATCCCTAATATCAATTCGCATTCAAACATTTCAAAAATCGATGGGTTTAAAAAAGTGGTTGACCAAAAACCGATTCGTTTGTAAAGTCAACCTTTTTTGATGATTTTTTGGAATATCTCGGCCAAATAATTTACGATTTGGGAATTTTATACCATTTTGGACTCATAAGAATCAGTACTATCGATTGGCATCAAAAAAATAATAATCTAAATTTTGACCAAAATCAACAAAATGGCAAGGGGTTACATCACGTTTTTTCTGAAATTCGGGGTCGGTTCGAAAATCAAAACTTTTTTGATGATTTTTATTGAATATCTCGGGTAAATATTGTCAGATTTTGAAATGTTATACCTTTTTAAATTCGTACGGATCCCTACTATCAACTGGCATTCAAACATTTCAAAAATCGATGGGTTAAAAAAAGTGGTTGACCAAAAACCGATTCGTTTGTAAAGTCATCCTTTTTTGATGATTTTTTGGAATATCTCGGCCAAATAATGTCCGATTTGGGAATTTTATACCATTTTGGACTCATAAGGATCAGTAATATCGATTGGCATCAAAAAAATAAAAATCTAAATTTTGACCAAAATCGGCAAAATGGCAAGGGGTTACATCACGTTTTTTCTCAAATTCGGGGTTGGTTCGAAAATCAAAACTTTTTTGATGATTTTTATTGAATATCTTGGGTAAATATTGTCAGATTTTGAAATGTTATACCTTTTTAAATTCGTACGGATCCCTACTATCAACTGGCATTCAAACATTTCAAAAATCGATGGGTTAAAAAAATTGGTTGACCAAAAACCGATTCGTTTGAAAAGTTAACCTTTTTTGATGATTTTTATTGAATATCTCGGGTAAATATTGTCAGATTTTGAAATGTTATACCTTTTTAAATTCGTACGGATCCCTACTATCAACTGGCATTCAAACATTTCAAAAACCGATGGGTTAAAAAAAGTGGTTGACCAAAAACCGATTCGTTTGAAAAGTTAACCTTTTTTGATGATTTTTTGGAATATCTCGGCCAAATAATGTCCGTTTTGGGAATTTTATACCATTTTGGACTCATAAGGATCAGTACTATCGATTGGCATCAAAAAAATAAAAATCTAAATTGTGACCAAAATCAACAAAATGGCAAGGGGTTACATCACGTTTTTTCTGAAATTCGGGATTGGTTCGAAAATCAAAACTTTTTTGATGATTTTTATTGAATATCTCGGGTAAATATTGTCAGATTTTGAAATGTTATACCTTTTTAAATTCGTACGGATCCCTACTATCAACTGGCATTCAAACATTTCAAAAACCGATGGGTTAAAAAAAGTGGTTGACCAAAAACCGATTCGTTTGAAAAGTTAACCTTTTTTGATGATTTTTTGGAATATCTCGGCCAAATAATGTCCGTTTTGGGAATTTTATACCATTTTGGACTCATAAGGATCAGTACTATCAATTGGCATCAAAAAAATAAAAATCTAAATTTTGACCAAAATCGGCAAAATGGCAAGGGGTTACATCACGTTTTTTCTGAAATTCGGGGTCGGTTCGAAAATCAAAACTTTTTTGATGATTTTTATTGAATATCTCGGGTAAATATTGTCAGATTTTGAAATGTTATACCTTTTTAAATTCGTACGGATCCCTACTATCAACTGGCATTCAAACATTTCAAAAATCGATGGGTTAAAAAAAGTGGTTGACCAAAAACCGATTCGTTTGAAAAGTTAACCTTTTTTGATGATTTTTATTGAATATCTCGGGTAAATATTGTCAGATTTTGAAATGTTATACCTTTTTAAATTCGTACGGATCCCTACTATCAACTGGCATTCAAACATTTCAAAAACCGATGGGTTAAAAAAAGTGGTTGACCAAAAACCGATTCGTTTGAGAAGTTAACCTTTTTTGATGATTTTTTGGAATATCTCGGCCAAATAATGTCCGTTTTGGGAATTTTATACCATTTTGGACTCATAAGGATCAGTACTATCGATTGGCATCAAAAAAATAAAAATCTAAATTGTGACCAAAATCAACAAAATGGCAAGGGGTTACATCACGTTTTTTCTGAAATTCGGGATTGGTTCGAAAATCAAAACTTTTTTGATGATTTTTATTGAATATTTCGGGTAAATATTGTCAGATTTTGAAATGTTATACCTTTTTAAATTCGTACGGATCCCTACTATCAACTGGCATTCAAACATTTCAAAAACCGATGGGTTAAAAAAAGTGGTTGACCAAAAACCGATTCGTTTGAAAAGTTAACCTTTTTTGATTATTTTTTGGAATATCTCGGCCAAATAATGTCCGTTTTGGGAATTTTATACCATTTTGGACTCATAAGGATCAGTACTATCGATTGGCATCAAAAAAATAAAAATCTAAATTGTGACCAAAATCAACAAAATGGCAAGGGGTTACATCACGTTTTTTCTGAAATTCGGGGTTGGTTCGAAAATCAAAACTTTTTTGATGATTTTTATTGAATATCTCGGGTAAATATTGTCAGATTTTGAAATGTTATACCTTTTTAAATTCGTACGGGTCCCTACTATCAACTGGCATTCAAACATTTCAAAAATCGATGGGTTAAAAAAAGTGGTTGACCAAAAACCGATTCGTTTGTAAAGTCAACATTTTTTGATGATTTTTTGGAATATCTCGGCCAAATAATGTCCGATTTGGGAATTTTATACCATTTTGGACTCATAAGGATCAGTACTATCGATTGGCATCAAAAAAATAAAAATCTAAATTGTGACCAAAATCAACAAAATGGCAAGGGGTTACATCACGATTTTTTGTGAAATTCGGGGTCGGTTCGAAAATCAAAACTTTTTTGATGATTTTTATTGAATATCTCGGGTAAATATTGTCAGATTTTGAAATGTTATACCTTTTTAAATTCGTACGGATCCCTACTATCAACTGGCATTCAAACATTTCAAAAATCGATGGGTTAAAAAAAGTGGTTGACCAAAAACCGATTCGTTTGTAAAGTTAACATTTTTTGATGATTTTTTGGGATATCTCGGCCAAATAATGTCCGATTTGGGAATTTTATACCATTTTGGACTCATAAGATCAGTAATATCGATTGGCATCAAAAAAATAAAAATCTAAATTTTGACCAAAATCAACAAAATGGCAAGGGGTTACATCACGTTTTTTCTG